TTTCCCCCACCCTCCAGTCTCCGCCTCCAGAAGGACAGGGTGTCTCCACAACAGAGTTCTTCACAGGCAACAGCGTCCTTTCTGTAGCCCAGCCTTGTGCCTCCCAGAACCTGCCTAGGGTCCAGGCACAGAAAAGCAACGACATGCCGGGGCTCCCTATGTCTGTCTCCGCTGACACTCTGAGGTTGGCCTGCCTGGCTGTTCTGCCTGTGAACATGCAAATGGCTGTATCTCGTCACGCTTCAAAGTCCCATACCAACCAAGTCACTACAGTTCTAAGATGCCACCAAAGATGGGGTCCTATAGATGGGACACCTGATGGGTATGGACTCAGCCTCCCCCCACCATGGTTTTCCCATTTGTAAAACAGAGCCAGTAACACCTGCTTCTACGGGGCAGTACCCAAAACACAAGTGCTCAGTAAATGATCCACCTGCCATGGGAGACTCTAATCCTCCATCCAGTTTCACACCAAGCGCCAAGAAAACTGTAGATCAAACCATACCCCAAAAAAGCGCAGGGATGAGCCTGGCCTTAGGCTTGCTTCAGATGAAAAGAGCTTGCTTTGCTATGTCAAGATCACAAACCTATTACACTTTTAAAACCCAAAGAGGAGACTCGGACCCTTTGAAGCCAACGTAAATACAACTGTTTAACAGTTTATTTTAACTATCCAATGGGAACCCAGTTGCTTAAATGTATTCACGTTGCCAGCAATCTCTCTGCGACATGGTATTTGTTAGAAATCAGGATTTCACTTCACAAACCGTCCTGCGGTCGCCTCCGCTTTGTCTCTTAACAGGGCTGTCTTTATGTGAGTTTTCTTTGGCTTCCCAATAGAAGAGTAACAGATTCCTTTTGAAGTTTTTTTATTGATGAATGAGCCGCTATAAATAACCCTCCATGGCAGCCGCCCGATCTCTGAAGTTTACTCTGGAATAATAGTAGCAGTGGGAATGAAGGGCAGTTCACAGCAGCGTGTCATGAAATACTTTAATGGGCTTCATACTGTTTAACTTAATCTTTACAGATGTAAAAACAGAAATACAATTATTTTAACAACTATTATTACATATTGCTTTGCTAATGAAAACAAAGTCCTGGGAAGCACTGGGAGACACTGAGGGGATCCTTATGACCCTCATGGAGCTATGCTGGGTGCTGGAGGGGATGGGATCTGGGGACAGAGGGAAAGTCAGGGACGGAGCATCTTGGCTCTCCCACAGGTCTCTTTCTGCCTCCCAGCTTTGACACACACACACACACACACACACACACGCACACACACACACGCACACACACACACATGCAACCACACAACACATCCTAATGATGCTGTCATACCAAGGCAGCTTCTCGGAGCTGATTTCAGGCTCAGCTCTGCGGTATGAATTATGGGGCCCATGGAGAATTTCTGTTGCTGGGAAAGACAACCGCTTGCTCTTAATGGAGCTCGAAGGACTTTTCCTGTTTCTCACAGTCCCCAGCTGCCACCCCGCCTCCTTGATCCCAGCTCTCCCGCCCCCGCCCCCTCAACTCCAGCTTCCAAGGAGCATCCTCTCGCCAGAGGGGACTGGGATACAGCTCACTCGCAAATCCATAAATCCAGAGGTCGCGCCTGCAGTCTGAACCTTCTCCCTGCCCCTCTGGGAAGTCGCGGAGATTAAATATGGAACCCCTGGGTCTCGTCCACTGTGCTGTGAAGACCGCCCTCCCCTTTGATTCTTCGGGGAGGTCTCTGCCTGCAGAGGCGCGTCCAGAGTCCAGACATGCCTTTTTCTCATGAGCTGTGGCCTAACCCCCCTCCCGCACTCCAGACTGGGAGCTGGGGGCCCCCATGAAACCCTCCACTGGGTAATTCTGTGCCTTCTCCTCCCTGCTTCTTGGAGTGGTCCTCGCCAGTGAAACTAGGAGCTTGCCTGAACCCTGAACCCTTCAGGAAATGACAGGATTGGGAAGGGAGATGTCAAAAATATGTATTTTGAGAGCTCAGCTGGAGACAGGGGCTTGTACCCACGGCAAGCAGCAGATTTGCCCAGTATTCAGTGGCTGCTCTGGATTCTCACAGCCCCAACCCCGTGGACTGGGGGCACTGGGCAGATCCTTGAGAGCAAAATAGAGGGCAGCTCACTCCCAGGGAAAAAGAGCCAGACTGGGACCCTGGATGCCTGTCTAGTTCTGCCCAGGTTTACCCATCAAGTGAGCCCCACCACCCGCCTGCCCTGGGCTGAGCAAGTAAAGGGGTGAGCAGCCTTGTGTGGAGAAAAGCACCAGGAGTCAGACAAGCACTCTCCCGGGATCGTTCTACAAATATTCACTGTCTGCTCTGCACCAAGCGTTGGATCACAAGCCGAGGAACGCTCACTCTGGCAGGAGAGCCAGGCGTGGAGAAATGCAATCCTGTAACAAACATTTTTGGAGGCCTGCTAAGTGGCAGGCTCTAGGCTGGACATGATAGGAACAAAAGGGCACAACAGAGAATGATGTGACCTTTGCCCTCAAGAGCGCATTGCATCGTGGGGAGGGACAGATGCAAAACTCATTACTGGGCAAGTAATTACTTAATTGCAGTTGGGATAAGTGCTCTAAAGAGCTGCAGAATTCTCTTAAAGTGTGTGAAAGGGCAAGCGAAGAGAATCAAGCTGTGTGTCCCTCGGGCTGAGGCAGAGTGCGTGAAATGCGGCTCGTCTAAACTAAGATGTGTGGTTAGCACAGGATACACACTGGACTTCCAAGACTTGGTGCCAAAAAGATATAAAGCATGTCAATAATTTTTATATTAAACCACATGCTGAAGTGGGATTGAATCCAGGTCTCCTGCCATTGCAGGCAGATTCTCTACTCTCTGAGCCACCAGGGAAACCCAGTACCTTGGATAGGTGGGGTTAAATAAAATAGACCCCTGAAATGAACTTTACTTGTTTCTTTGCACTTTTCCTTTTGTAAGGTGGCTCCTAAAAATTGTCAAATCACTCTTCTTTGGCTCGCTGGGCTGGAAGATCCAAAAATGTATCCCTGAGCAAGAGGCTTTCTATAGCCCTTTAGCTTGAAAATCCCAGAGAGATGGGAAGGAGATAGAAATGTGGCCTATGCCACTAGCTCTGTTCTTTGGGTGTGTAGATCACACAGAGGGACTCTCTGGGGTTTCTCAAACCTCAGGGCTGTAGAGTCAGATAATTCACCACTGTGAGGGGCTGTCCTGTGCTCTATAGGATGCTCATGGCATGTCTGACCTCAACCCCCTAGATGCCGCTAGCACCCCTCCCCTGGTTATGACAACCTAAAACGCCTCCGGACACTGCCAACTGGCCCAGGGGTAAGACTGCACTGGTGAGAACCATCCTGCTCGACCATTGTGGGACCAGGTGAACATTCTGCATTAGAATCCTCAGCGTCTCTGGTAGAGGCGTCTGGGCAGCACATTTTGTCAAGCTCGCTGGGAGGTTCTGCCGTGCAGGCCCCACTGAAGGCCTCGTGGAGGATGCTGTCTGCTAGGGGGTGTGCCCCCTGCCTGTCTCTTCCACACCAGGAGGTGAGGAGGTGTTCGCCCTGTAGGCTCCCTGCTTTCACGCTTGGTCGGGTAAGACAAAAGAGTGGCTAGAGCTTTAAAGACAGGAATGCTTGCCTGGGTGTGGTGCTTCGCCAAGGATCTGCTTTGTAACCTGGGGGAGAGGGGTGGGTACTGGTAAAATATCAGTAATAAAATGGACACACTGCTCCCCAGCTCCCAAGTTCACCTCAAGATGAAAGAAATTGTGCACACAAGACCTCAGGATGGATCCTGATGATGAAGGAGGGTGCCACAGAGCTGGAGAGCCTGGATCCAAACCCAGCTCTGCCACGCATGGGTCACGGGACCCTGGGAAGTGACTAAGCTCTCTGAACCTGCTACCCCACCTGTAAAAAAGGGGAAACTACTGTCCCTAGCTCTCGGACCCAGGAAGAGTAAATACACAGGAAGGGTGATAATACACATAGAGTCCTTAGACCCCAGCAGAGACTGAGGGCTCCGCAAACACTGCAGTGATGACTAGCCCTCAGAGATCTTATCACTCTTTTGTTAGCTTAAGTTTTTACTGCAAATGCTCCTTCAATTATACAGGAAGAATTTGCAAGCCACTCAGAGGATCTTTGCAAAGGCTACAGCCATGGCTCCCAAGCTGCCAGGACCATAGAACTGGCCACCGCAGAAGCCGCCGCCTCCAGCAGGACCCGAGAGCTTCAAATCCTGGGTGGTTCTCACAGCTCCGGGTCCCAGGATCACTCCTGTGGTCCACAGCATCCAAGCAGGTACACAACCCTGCCTCCTGGCCCCCCTGGCTCCCAAGGTCACACCTGTACATCTGGTGGTGGGCCCTGGCCTAGCACACAGGTGAGCAAGGGGCGCCTTCTCTTCTTTCAGTATTTGAAAGATTAGATAGAAAGAATGGGAATCTATCAGGAATTGGAAAGCATTGAAAAGATTTTGAGTAATCATAAATATCAAACAGGCCCTCACTGGTGCCTGTCAATATACTTTGCTAGTCTCCCCAGGTGAATATAAGCCCCTCAAGAACAGGACCCGGGTCTGGGCTGTTTATATACGACTAAGGTGTGCCACAGGCCTGGCACTTAATAACTATTTGGTGGATGGAGAATATCAAACTATTCTGATGACAAAGGCATCAGGAACTTGGAACAAGTTCCTGATTGTGGAAAAATAGAAACATTTTTACTCCTTTCTGGGAATCCCTAAACATATGTGCATCCTTTACCATGAGCTGAGCATGGGTCGGTACTGGTGAGGCACTAGCTCAGACAGCAAAGATGGTGTAAAAGAGAACAGGCACTTAGGACCCAGTGGCCTTGATTCATCCTCCATCACATGGGGAGACTATTTTGATCAAGTGGAAATTGAGTACAAATGTGGATAAATAAGAAGAAAGAGTAAGGGGTGAACGACCCCTTAGCACGATTCCTTCCTCCCCTGGAGATGCACCTGAGGGCCTTGGTACCTGGCTATGTGGCTCACGGTCCTGACTGCGGAGCAGACCCTCCTAAGGAGCTTTCAGAAGCATGCCATCTGGTCCCACCACCAGCCAGCGGAGTGGGAACCCCTGGGAGCAGGGCACAAGCCCTGGGTGGCCATCCTCTATCAGAGAGGTGAGCACGAGGCCCCTGGGTTTGCTCTCACCCCACATGGAAAGCCAATGAACCCCTGGAACAAACAGCAGAGACAAGAAGTGAAACACACTGGAAATAGATGTATTTCTCCTGAATCCCATCTTTCTTATGTAACTGAGTGGCCCTTACTCAGATGCTGCGCTGTCCCTAGGCTAACAGTGTCTCTCACACCCACCCCACCCCCTAGAGCCCATGCCCAAGGAAGGGAAGGAGCCGCCATTGCGGGGGTGCTCTGGGCACCAGCAAGAGCCCAACATGAATTATTCATCACTGCCTCCTCCCCACCATCATGCTCTCAAGATGGAGCCCGCAGGGCCGACACAAAGTCCAAAAATGTGGGAAAGTTTATTTATTTCTCCAAAACATTCCTGATTTGTAATGTGCTTTCTAAAAATGTTCTAGCTGACCCAGCCCCTGCTATATTTAGCCACAGCATTTAAAGAAATGTTCCTTACCCTTTATAAGGCGGGCCATGAAACATGAATTTAGGAAAAGCGGCTCCCCAGTCTGGTCCCTTTGTCCCTGGGAGAGGGGTGGAGCCTCTCCTTGACCTAGAGGCGCATGGTCCTGGTGCTCCGGGCAGGGGCGGCAGGGGGAGGGGGCAAAAATAAAGAGTTGCATTCATTCCCAAGGCCCTTGAGTTCACAATGGCTGGATGGCCAGCCCTGGGAAGCCCCTTCTAAGCTCTTGGGCAAAGAAGGAAACACCAAAGGACTGGCTCTCCTCTGTCTGTGAAATTGCTCTCCTGTGGTTTCCGAGGATCCCCGGCTGGGTATGGCAGTTTTTTTAAATTTTTTTTGCTTTTGGTTTCGTGTTCGAACGGTTGGATCATCTCAAGAGCTATCAGACTGCAAGGAAGAGATGAAATGGCTGCCAGCCGTCCCCGGACGAAGAACTGGAGAAGTCTGCCCAGGAGGCTCCCGCGACCTCGGAATTATGGAAAGCGAGCAGGACTGTGGGTTCATGATTTTGTTACGAAACCAAGACATCACAAATGCACTCGTAAAACAAAAGTGTTTAGATTAGAGGCTATGCCTGTATACAGAGATGAGACCTCCCATTTACCGAATGCTTCCTGCACGCCAGATATTTTATGTATATATATATTAACTGTTTTGGGCTTCCTTGATGCCTCAGACGGTAAGGAATCCTCCTGTAATGCAGGAGACAAAGGTTCAATCCCTGGGTCAGCAAGATCCCCTGGAGGGGGCATGGCAACCCACTCCAGTATTCTTGCCTACAGAATCCCATGGTCAGGGGAGCCTGGCAGCTACAGTCCATGGGGTCACCAGTTTAGTTCTGACAGCTGCCCGATGCTGAAGGCTTTAGGACTAATCCATTTTTCTGGTGAGAACTAGGAACTTAGACCCACCATAAAATTTACTCCTTACAATAGCTTGACGAGGTGGTTACTAACATTGCCCCCATCTGTACAGGTGAGAAAGCTGAGGCACAGAAGGGTTAAGTCATTTTGCTGATGTCACACAGCAACTGGGTTATTAGTAGAGCTGGGTTATTAGCCTCTGTCTGGTGGGCACAGTCTTGATGAGGTTAACACACTCCCCCCTCCTTCACCTGAACCTCAAATCACTGAATGGTAACGAGTCTTAAGACATTAATGGGAGGGTTTTCTTCACAGTAGGTGTGTCTGGAGAGACCTGGGAACGTGTGGAGCAGGAGAAGGTGACCACTGCCTGGGAAAGAAGTGTGACCCCGGGAGGAGGGTATGCAAAGTGTTCGTTTTGCACAGGATGGGTCCTGAGTCCAGCTGTAAGCTAGGTGTTGTCCAGGGTGACATGGGCTTGTGAGCAACAGAGGGCCACCCCCCCTTCCCAGAGGCCCGACCTCACCGCTGCTGGGCTGGGACACTTTCTGGAAGCGTTAGACAGCATCTGTCATGTTCTGCCTACTACCCAGGAAGGAACAGCTTTGTTTTAAATGCTCAACAAACACAAACGGATACAAACTATGTGCAGTCATCCCAGGCCCCAGCAACTCAGCAAGACATTCTGGTCTCGGCCCTTGGACGCCAACAGTGTGGTCCGGGCCCCCGAGGAAGGAACCCTTCCTCCACTGTCCTGGCCACGCTCAGTTTGAATTGTCCCCACCGTGGCGTGTTCTGTAGCCCTCTCTGCCCTATGGACTGCTGTTACCTGGGCTCCCTGTAGGCTGGACTTCTGGTGGATTTAGCCATTGGGAGCACCTTGGTGAGGGTGGAAGGCAGAAGAGGAGTTGGGTGTTTCTGCTCAGCTCCTGTCAGTGCTCCAGTGGCATCTACACTCATTCCGCCCACTCCCCTGAAAATAGTCCCTCTCCCCCAGTCTTCTTCCAGTGGCTCATCTAAGTCAGGTTCTGTTTCCTCCCGGAACCCTGATTTTCACTCTGATAGAAAAGGAAAGTTGTGACAAATCTTTGCCCAGTCGGGCCCAGGCCCCTCCACTCACTGTGACTCTCTCTAGGTCACTGTACCATCTATGGGGATCTGTCTGACTCTGCAGAACCCTGAGTCTGAGGCCTCTGGATAAAGACAAATGTAGATGAGAACTTGCTACTTGGGTATTCAGGCATACAGATTGTTTGAAATGTGGATTTTAAAAAAAGCTTTTACTTTTCCAACAAACTCATGCTCTTCAATTTTAATAATGAAGCTGGATTATTATCATGTGTATTTTTGACTGTATGAAGCAACCCCTGCTTCGTGGAAATAAGATTCCAGCCACTGTGAAGCACACCGAGTCATGGCACTCACACGGTGCATTCCTGGCGGACGGGCTCCGGCCTTCAGCTGCAACAATAAAATCCAGTGCGCCTGATTCATTAACCCACACGTGGACAGACACCGAGCACTCTTAGTGAAACGGCAGAGACCGCAGGTAGGCACCTTTCCAGAGAGGTGCGGTTGTACTGGAAAATGGCAGGACACATCCTGTTCCTCCGGTTCTGGAAAACCTCATGGGGCATGTGAGAACCAGGAGGCCATCAGCTTCCACAGGATCCAGGAAATGCCCAAGAGCGGACAGCACAAAGGCCTTTGCAGAGTCCCTGCACCCTTGCAAAAGTCTGGGAAGTAAAGGTCTCAGGGGGGTATGTCTTCCAAGACTCTTATAACGTCTTTGTTAGTTTCACTATAATAGTGCAAAAAACTAAATTATTCCGTGTTCAAATTCTATAGCGAAACAAAATCTTTCCCAAAGTGCCAGTACTTGGGTTATTCTAAAAGAAATCAGCACTTGATCTGAGTCTCTCTGCCTCAACTACGCAAAGAAAGATGAATTTCTGATCATTTGTGTGTGTAGAATATATATATACATGTATATATACACATACACAGATATGTACATGTGTACATACATATACACTTACTTATCATTGTACATACACCTGCCATATCCCCCATTATGATCAGTGTATTCGTGTGTGTGTGTGTGTGTGTGTGTGTACACGAGAGAAAGATCACCTACAGGAAACAGAATCTGTTCCTTTTGTGTAGATGAGAACATAGAGGCATACTTTACATTGCCCAAGAACAGGACAATATGGTTGTTTCTGGTTTACTCAAAATCTAGGTGATTTTGCTTTTATTAAGAGGGGAAACCTTTCCTTGGTCTCATTGATCCATAACCAGGAGCACATGACTAAAACTGGGACATTAGAACAGCTATTTGGACAACTAAGTCCCAAAGCCCCTCTTTGTCCTTAGCAGGGAGTAGAGCACATGGAATTGTATAGAATCCACAGAAAACGACCCCACTGTTCATTTCTGTTTGCTTTCCTCAACCAGATGAATGTGGGGCTGAGGTAAGAGAATTCCTCCTTATGTATGTATGAACGCTTACAGAGTGACACATACTCCTGCCTTTTTCCTTCTGTGCCAGAAAAATAATGTTTGCACTATACTTTTTGGAATTGTAACTCTAAAGTGCCATCCTTTTTAAATGACGCTATTAGAATATTTGCTTCCCCAGAAATGAGCCATCATAAGTTAACAAAAGAGAAAACAAAGAGAAAACATTAAAAGCATATCCCGCTCAGCAGAATCTTCATCTTATTGGGGACCCTCAGGCAACACCCTCCAGTCCTGGGGTTTTCTGTCCTGCCCTCCAGTCCATGCAGAAGCCCTCCTCCCTCAGAAGCCAGAGCCCGAGAATCGCTGCTGGGGTTCCCAGATATGATCCCAGTCTCCCCTTTTCTGTTATACTCTTTGTTCCCCCCAGTAATCCACTGAACCAGTCCCTGAGAGGTTAATGAAAAAAACAACTTTATTCACAGAGGTTGAGACTTCAGGATAACAATAGCCAACAAATGGCCCTTCCAGCACATTGTAAGTTAATCACAGTGATCTTGGGTCTCAACATGGTTCATCAGAGTTCTTAACATCAAGGACGCTGAAGCTCGCCCACCACAGTGCTCCCACCAGCCCGGGCAGAACTTGGACATGGACGCTCCTGGGGGTCAGTAGCAAATGGCCTTCAGCACGAATTCTCAGTCACCTCTGTGTTTGCTAATTCATAAATTATTCTGTTTGTCTGAAATATCATTTCCAACATATTAACCAACAGGCTCTCAGATGTGATGTTTGTGTTCACTTTTATATATAAGTTCTGGAAACTGCTTTAATCTGCTTTAAAAAATTATCTCAAAGACCCATCTCTGCCTCCCTCCAGGAACTGACTTACTGTGCTTTTCCCACATTTGATAAAATTAAAGTAGCTGGGAGGTTCAGGAAATCGAGTCTCAGAACCGCCACCACAACCCAAAGAGATACCGTGAGAGCTTAGATGCATTCCCCCAAAGTTCCCAGCTGAAGTGGGCTGTGAAAATCTCGATTTCCATAACCACATCTTTGTCTCAGCCCCCTGCCCTCCCGCCCACTCCTCGCCCCAAACTTGCAGTCACCTCCGTAAGGTGTTTGTTTAACTGCAGGCTCTGGGCCTGCCTGGCTGGCACTTGGAGGGAGGAGGAGGCTACCGTTGGCCAGGGAGCCTCCCACCAAGCCTCCTGTTCCTGGGGGCCCAGAGAGCTGACCACCCCCAGACCCCAGAGGACTCCCTTGCTCTTCTGAGCGCTCACCCATCCCCGCCTCCACTTGCTTTCCATGTGCTTGTTTCACCCAACTCTTCAGGTGAAAAATAGTCCTTCACCACACAGTTCTGCAAAATGTGGCAACAATCAAGCTTCCCTAACCCTCATGCACTTCCGGTGTCCCTGGAAATGTTTTGACCCCTTAAACAATAAAGCTAAGAGATAGGATGTCTGTGGTTGGTAACAGGCATTGGAGAGCACGTGTTTTGACTAAGGACATATCGAGCTATCTATTGTAATGCAACAAAATGCTAAGTTACACAGAGTGCACTTTTTAAATAGAGGTTGTTAATACAGATGTTCACAGGGCAACCCTTATAGTAAAAAAGAATCAAGCTTTTAGCCAAAGAATATAGTGTGTTCCTTTTACTATCTAAAAGGAAAAGAGAGAAAATTTCTCTATTTACAATGAAAGTGTGGTCTCTCAGCTTCCGCCTGAACATTGGTCTTAAGTCCTCATCAAGCCCTAGGATCTGCAAAAGAACCTAAAAAACAGGTTGCCCCTGGTGTCCCCACAACTGGACCTTAGCGACAAACCCAGCTGTGAACACCCATCACTCCGTGGAGCCCAAAGCCAAGGCCTGGGCCACAGTGACAGCCGAGCTGGCGATGGTCAGACCGTGGCTCTTAGACAGAAAGGACCACACTGCGGCCATCTGCCTGCCCTCCGATTGTCTGCGCCCTCCCCCACTCCCTCCAGACGCGCAGGACCTGTCTGGGTGCTAGTGGAAGATCATGCCATCAGACTGACCTAAGGTTCAAGGAATTTTCCTGCGCCTGCGGTAGGAGGTCTGAGATGCCCAAGTCGCAGCGTGGGCAGGGTCTTTTAAATCTCCGAAGCTGTTCCAGTTCTGGGAAGGTCCGTCTTGCAGGAGGCAGGGGAGTGTGCCCACTCGTGCAGCTCAGGATGCAAATACTTCCCACGATCCATATGCAGGCAGAGGAAATCATTTATTTTAAAACGCGACTACTTTCTCAGCGGTGGGAGCCCTGCTTGCTCACACGGAGCTCAGACTAGGGCGAGGGAGGGAAAGGAGCCGCCGTCTGCTTTACTGAAAATGAAGCACCGCTTCCGGGAGCTGCAGGGGGAAATAGGAGAGAAAGGGGATCCCGAGCTGGTAGAAGCCGCCCTGGACGTGCGGGTCGAGCATCAGGGAAGCGTTGAAAGGCGGACGGAGGCTGGAGGAGGTGGCCAGAAGCGAGGCGCCCAGACAGCTGCCCGGCCCCTGCTTGGCGCACCCCAGGAGCTCGCCCCCTCCAGCCGGCTTCTGCCCCTGCCGTCGGGCCAGGATGCTGTCTATGCTGAAGCTCTTGGATTTGTCTGAGCTCTTAGGAGAGCTGCGGGAGGCGGGGCGCGGAGGAGTCTCCGGGCCGTCCACCGTGCGCTCAGGCTGGCCGACAGCCACCACCGCTGCGCCCTGGAGCGCGTCGCCCGCGTCCCCCTCTGGGGACCCGGGCCCGGGCCAGGGGAGGGACGCTGGCGGCGGAGAGGAGGCTTCCCGAAGGGGCGAGGGGCGCGCGGGCGCTCTTTCCTGGATGGGGGTCGCGGGGCGGGGGCGCCCTCCCGCGCTCCGCACCTCCGGAGGCGCCTCCGAGCCGCGCTCCTGCGTCTCGGCGCGGACCCGCTTGGCCTCCGGGCCCCCCGGGCCGGGCTTGGGCTTCCTCTTCCGGCGCCGGTAGTTGCCGTTCTCGAACATATCCAGGCAGCGAGGGTCCAGCGTCCAGTAGCTGCCCTTGCCGGGTCGCCCTTTCTCGCGGGGCACCTTGACGAAGCAGTCGTTGAGCGAGAGGTTGTGGCGGATGCTGTTCTGCCAGCCCTGCCGGTTGTCGTGGTAGAAGGGGAAGCGGTCCATGATGAACTGGTAGATGCCGTTGAGTGTGACCCTCTGCTCAGGCGCATCCTGGATCGCCATGGCGATGAGCGCGATGTAGCTGTAGGGCGGCTTCTGGGGGGGCTCCACCCGGCCCGAGGCCGCCAGCGCGCCAGCGGGGGCGAAGGCCAGAGGCAGCCCGGGTCTCTCGGGGCCGTACAGATAGAGCATGGGCGAGGCTGCCAGAGCAGGCAGCCGGGGGCTGAAGAAGTGGCTCATGGCGAACGGGAGCCCGTGCGGCGCTCCCGGCGATGCCTGAAACCCGGGCGGCTTAGGGACAGCGCCCCGCGCCGCAAGGGCCCTCCCGGGGAGCCTGCCCTGCGTCTGCCTCCCGCTCCGCCGCTCTCCCCAGCCGCTCCGCGCTCTGTCCCTTCTTCATGGCTTTAAAAAATGTTAAATAATTGTTGCAAGTTTGCTATTATATGTTGACTTAGCGCTGGAAAATAAATTGTCTATGATAAACAGTCGCTGTGTTCTCAGCCCACCCACATTAATTAAAATTTCATTGCTGAAAAACTCCAAGCTTTTCCCTCCACGTGTCTTTTTGATACCAGCCAATCGGTTTCAGGGTTATTCCTTCATTTGTTTATAGAATTAGTCTGTTGATAAGTCCGCCCACCCAAGTTGAATCAAGCTGTGTTTATTTGGAAAAATTTCCGGGCACCCAATATATAAACGCACTGATCTGATGTTTGAAATATCACGTCCACCCCTTGACGCTGTAAGCACACACAGTCAGTCAGGCAGGATGTGGATCGAGGTGGCTCGGGAGCAGAGTCTGCCCCGCCAGGAAGAAGAGGTGGAGCTGGGAGGGGCGCAGGGGTGAGTTTTACCTCTGGCCTGGGGGAGCCCCGAAATCCCATGGCCTCCCACAAAAGACCTTTTCTTCTCCCAGGCTTAGTAGGAGATGGAGAGATGACACAGTCTCATAAATGCCTTCTGAGGTCTTGGAGAGCTCTCAGATATTTTAGCAGGGGAGAGGAGATAGATGAACGCCTGATTAGAAGAGGATGCAGGCCTCCTCTGAGACATCCTCGGGATGCCCTGGAGGAATTGGGCGGCCGGGTGGCGGGGGGTGTACTCCCTAGGGGCCTCACATCCCAAAATGGGCAGGCCTGCCCCCCTAGGGCTCCCTGGGGATCCAAGAAGACGATCCCAGAAGCCCAGCTTTTCCAATGCCAATGGCACGGGGCACTGAGAGTTGGCGAAGGCGTGCAGTAGCGGGTCCACAGCTTTTTTGGTGGCAAGTTTCAAAATCACCCCTTTTGGAGAGTCGAGGGGGAGAAGCTAAGGTCTTTCTGACGGGGCTGAGATTGCAAGGAGGAACACCATAAAAGGGGAATTTGGCAGCTGGCGCGGGAGAGCTGGTATTTGTGAATGCGGGTCTCTTGCTTTATATTCTGCGCTTTCCTGTTTATAACAAGGAGGGGGTTATAACAACTTTACAAGTGCACGCAGCTGGCCCGTGATTACATTAAGCATTTGGGAAGCCTGCTCGCTTCCCCCCCTCCACCCCACCCACTCACCCTGGGGTGTAAGCACTCCCCACCCTGATTCATTTTACATTTAGCCACGTCCTGGTTTGAATCAAAAACCTTGATGATGCTGATTTAGAAGGAGGTGTCTCCCCTACTCTGCTGCCTTTGGGGAGGGGGGTGGATTGGCACTTAACATGACTAGTTCCTGTTTATGATCTTTGCTGGATATATTTTAAAAGAAAGAAAAAGCTCAGGATAACTGAATTAACATCTCATTCAGTAAACCATGTGGATGCCCAAGAAGAAGAGGACGGGGTGAAGATGGAACGTGGTGGTAGCTTGAGGAAGGACACTAAAGGTGCCTTAAGGCACGTTTGCTGCTTAACCCCTTAGGGCTGTCCCACTGTCACAGAGGCGACACCATGCCAGGGACCGGCCACCGGGGCTCAGGTCATCCCTGAACGTGGAAAAGCAGGGAGAATCCCAACTCTAAAATGGAGGATCCAGAAGGTAAAGCCTGTGTTTGGGGGTTCTGCAGAGACCACAGGGGAGCAGGGACGTTTGCAATACCTAAGAGGAAATCGCTGACAGGGTCGAAAAACCGGTTTGGGTGCAGGCAGGGCTTGAGGGAATGCCAGGTCAGGCCCCGGGACACATTCAGGCCTCTGTCCCCAGCGCTGCTTTTCTAACTTAAGCCCAGTGTCCCTCTGGTCCCCGCCTGGGTCTCGAGGATGGCCCTCTAGCCAAGAGGGGGCGGGGCGCTGTATTCTTTCTGGATCCCTGGCTTTCATCGGAGCACCACACTTCAATCCTGGGATGGAAAAAGAACCTCAATGTCGGCGCTTCTGCAGCCCACGGGCTCCACGGGCTCCAGAGTCACCCCAACCCTCCAGATCAGCGCGCTTCCTGCAAGCTCAAGTTTGCATCCGGCCTTGGTGCCGGCTCCAACAGACCCAGAGCGAGAGACACACCGGTGATACTGCGCGGTCCCTCGCCCCCCACCTCCTCACCCGAGCCCTCCCAGAAGTTTCCCGGACACCCAGCGTCCAGCACGCACAGCCCTGCCTGAGGCGCGCCACCGCGGCGCTCCTTCTAAACTAGGAGGCAAATCCGAGCTTGAATTCTTACAATGATAAACACCGCCCAATTTGGGCATGGGCGGGACGCAGGCGGAGACACGCGCGGCTGGTGGGCAGGGCACTGATAGTAAAGAAAAAACAACCCCAGTTCTAGCGGCCGTCTGGAGAGGCGCGTCCCGCTCCACGTGCTGGCAGCAGTTAGCAACCTCTCTGGGAGGTTCTGGCCACAGAACTCCGGCAGGGCGCCCCGACCCGGCTCCGGCGAGGGGTCGGATCCTGGGTTCCCAGGTGAAGTGTGTAACTGAAGCCGAGGACGCCGCGGGCAGGAGCCCCGAGTGGGGGCTTATTTCCGGGGAGCGCTGGGCACAGGCGCCGAGAGCCGAGTGTGGATGCGCCCTCGTGCGGAAGCTCTGTCGGGAGACTCACTGGGGGACCAGCCTAGCCTGGGAGACGGCGGGGAGACAGGGTGACTCAGATAGCCAGATGGAGACACTGACCGTTCCCTGCAGGTTCAGAAGTCTTCAGGTCCCGGAAAAGCACATTCATCTGTGAAGTCAGTGGGCG